TTTTTTTCTCGAAGTTAAATAATATCTCATTCTTATTATAGAGAGACATCAATAAATGTACCTTTTTTTGTCTGATTTCCCTGAAGAGTGCATTTTAGAAAACATCGCTCTGTTTGTTTAAACAGCCCAACCAGATCTCAATAGCAACACTGACTCAACCAATGGCGTGACCGATGAGGCAGGGCCATCTGTTTATTCAACCAATGGCACACAGGAAACTGTTTGACATGATTTGTGTCATTTAGTTGGGTTAAGTAATTAATTACTAGCCAGAAATTATATCTTCAACAGTGCAATTAGAATACTGTACTAATTACTCTCTCTAAAACGTATTGCATTGCTTATTACTAATTACTTTCTAAATCCCAAATCAACCTCGACCAGTTGAACAACAAAAGGATAGACATGAAACTGTTCTTTTAATTATTTCAAATAAATAATATAAAATTGCACAAATTATTACTGAACTGACTAAGATATTTAAAGGTGCTGTGTGTAAGTTTTTGACACTAGCATAACAGCATAAAAATACCATAATATGTTTGCAGATATTTAAGAAACATGTTAAGTTAACATAATGGTTTATCTGAAAAACACTGCTACAGTCAGTTATTCTCTTTTGAAAATGTGCGTTCTGGGCCGGTATGTCGGTCTCCATTTTGGTTTGTGAAACCCGCCCACTGCCAGTTTACCCAATTGTATGTCGGCACCCCGGGTTGCCAGTTGGCGGGAAACACAGCGTATTTTGTTTCACAGCATCTGTAATTAAATTACAGAAAAATAAGTGTAATCCCTTACTTTACTTTTTAAGCGAATAGCAATTAAATTATAGTAATTACTTACTTACTAAAGCATTACACCCAACACTGTTTATAAAAAAAAATACTAATAAATATTTTTTTTAAAATGCCAAAATGCCTATTCTGTTCCCCAGTTTCATGTAAAATTACTTCAGAAGCATCTGTAATTAAATTACAGAAAAATAAGTGTAATCCCTTACTTTACTTTTTAAGCGAATGGCAATTAAATTATAGTAATTACTTACTTACTAAAGCATTACACCCAACACTGTTTATAAAAAAAAATACTAAAATATTTTTTTAAAAATGCCAAAATGCCTATTCTGTTCCCCAGTTTCATGTAGCCTGTTTCTTTATTCTCTCCGATTCAAGTATACACAGACATATAGTTTGTGATTGATATACAAAATAAGCCTATGCATCTTCTTTTTTGCACTCCAAGCATTGAAAACCATGAAGCCCTAACTCCTGGAAAATTGAAAGCTGGATATGTTCTGGTCTTTGAAAAGATAAGACCAGTAAGATGGTGGAAAGGACATCTGTTATTACACACTTACTGGTGCATGAGAGCTGAAGTCTCCGTTTGTACTTCCTGCCCATTCTTTTGAAACTTTAAAAATATGTTTCCAGGGCAAGAGGGAATCGCTGTGATGAGCGATTCCTCATTCAACTGATTCTTAATTTCTCCCTTAAATTATGTAATTTAAGTAACCATTTTAAAGAAAAATGGTGTCTGTATGGTGTACATTTTGGACATTCTCAAAACTCAGTTATTTGATGAAATAGCATCGCACCTCAGTCTAAAAGGCTTCAGGTCTCAGGAAAAACAATGGACAAAATGGCCTCTCTCAAAAAGCACTCTTCCAACTCCAAAATCCACTTATCCCTCAGTTAAAAAAAAAAAGTTTTATGTGCTACCTGTGCCACTTCAAAACAGTTTAAATTAATGCAATAATATAACAGAAAATAAAAACCTGTTTGGAAAGCAGTCTTTATATGACTGAATGGATTACAAATTGTGTGATATTTTAATGTCAGTTTGATCAGTGGCAACCTGTTTTCACTCCCACAACGTCCAGTACTGCAGCTTGTATGCATGCAACTATACACGCATTCAATCTTACCAATGCGAACAGTAAGCCAACTGCGTTCAACGAGTAAACGTTAAGGGCATGGGACTTTCACTACGATGAAATTGTTATAATTTTGGGTAACCCTAATGATATGTTGGGGCTTGATTTTCAATTTGAATGCATTTTAACATAATATGATGTAACAGGCACAAGAAAAGTAGAGTCACAATAATAAATTCAAAATAATAATAATGATTAAAAAAAACTTAGAAGTATATTCAAACAATTTAAGCTACATTCCAAGTCTTAAAGGCGAGATATTTCTTTGTGGCGGACTTAAAATTTGATCACCGTCACTGTCTGCCACAACACTCAAATATTTCAATAGTTCTTTTTTTTGTCATTTTGTTGAATAAATTATTGTGACTGTCTGTTATATGTTTAATGTTGTTAAGACGTACTTAAGGGTACACTCTAAAAAAATGTTGGGTTATATACAACCCAGTGCTGGGTAAAATAGGGACAAACCCAGCAATTGGGTTGTTTTGACCCAGCGGTTGGGTT